AGCGGACGGCCGATTTATCGGGCTATTTTTTTGACGTATTTATCATGGGAAAAGTTACAGGTTCACAGGTACTGAAAAAAACGTGTGCTATACATGCTAGCTAGCTATATTGGCACATTTAATTTGCCAAAAATACGCATTATATATGAACAAATAATGATATTCAATGATATTCAATAATGAAGTAAAGCTTAGCCTTACCTATCGCAAAGATGACAATAATAGCGGCCGGCGATTGGTCAAAAGCAAGCCACAGGAGAGAAACGCGATTGGTCAAATGTTAGCCACCGGAAAGAAACGTGATTGGTCAAAAGTAAGCCACGAAACGCGATTGGTCAAAAGTAAGCCACAGGAGAGAAACGCAATTGGCTCACGTGGGCTTACTTTGGCACAGTTGGTGGGATGCAGTAGGCGCAAGTGAGAGGTAGCGGGATCAATGCCTGCATTCTCCAAGCTGGATCCTGCCCTTTTACGCTCACTTCCATAAAGAGACAGACTGCACTTTGACGCTGTGAAGCGACGCGTTGGGTGCCGAAAAAGTTTTTAGGACTGGGTCCTGCACACATTCCTGGCAAAAGCAGGTCCCACCGAGATTTTAACTCGGATCGCTGAATTCAGAGTCCAGAGTTCTAATCATTGCACCATGTTCCATGGTGCAATGATTAGCACTCTGGACTCTGAATTCAGCGATCCGCTTCACTTCTGCTTGACAGAAGCAGCTGTTGCTCACTAAATCACTTATAGACTCGACCTTTAGATCTTCAGTCTAATGCTCTCCTAACTGAGCTATTTTGGCCACAACCGCAAGCCCTTTAGCCAGCAGGGATTTACGTGAGACCACCATCACTTGACATAGGAGCAGAGCTGAGCTCCCAGAGAACAAAAGAGGCTGGTCCATACAGGGATCGAACCCGCGACACTGGGGTTATTAGCCACACACTCTAACCAACTGAACTAAATGGCCTGGCAATGATTGAGCCTCTGCCCAATTTGCCAAATACTTCCTGATTGCTTGTGAGCCTAAAGAGACAAAAGAGCTTCAGGACCAAGCCTCACCACAGGCTTGTCCGGGATTTAAACCCAGAATATCTCGCACCCAAAGCGAGAATCATACTTCCAGATCAACGAGCCAGCCTGTGCAGCCATCTAGCCATGAGCATCACTGTTCGCATGGCTTTAAATGCAAGAGGCAAAAAAAAAAAAATTCTAAAGTACGACGATATCTGAGAAACTTGTGTCTTCTGTGTCTCCACTAGCCTGACTTGTATGGTGTGTAGGATAGTCAGCACAGTTCTAATGAATGTATGAAGCTCATTTCAGAGGAACGCAAAAATCAAGGCATGCCCACAGCCAGCTATTTCCAGCCACGCCAGTACAGCTCGTTCATCGTGGAGGGGAAATGAGCGAGGTGTCCAAAACGCCTGGTCAAGCAGACGTTTCAATAGCATGTATCAAATCAACAAGAAACACTGCCCCCCCTCCCCCCCCCAAAAAAAAGAAAAGAAAAGAACAACTACAGCAACAACAAAAACAACAACTGTTGCTCACAGTTTGGATTCAGTCGAACAGACAGCACACCTCACGCAGGAACGTGCTCAGTCAGTGTTAAACTGCCTGAATATGTTCAAAAGCAGGACGGCGGTCCCACTGAAACAGTTTCAGAGGCTCCTGGGGCACATGGCAGCTGCAGCGGCAGTTAGGCCGCTGGGGTTGCTTCATATGAGACCGCTTCAACACTGGCTTCATGCCGAGTCCCGAGGTGGGTGTGGAAATGCGGCACTCACCAGGTCCGAGTCACACTGGCCTGCCACCAAACCTTCACCCCGTGGTCAGACCTTGCGTTTCTACGGGCAGGAGTGCCCCTGAAACAGGTCTCCAGGCATGCAGTGGTTTATACGGTTGCCTCTACCACCGGCTGTGGGGGCACGTACGACGGGCATGCAGTGTCAGGGGTTTTGGACGGGCCCAACTGCACTGGCACATCAACTGCCTAGAGTTGATAGCAGTACACCTTGCATTGAACCGTCTCAGAGGGCACTTACGAGGCAAGCACGTGCTGGTCCGCACAGACAACACTGCAACCGTTGCTTACATCAACCGACAAGGTGAACCGACAACTAGCCCGCCACCCCCTCCTCTGGAGACAGAAGCATCTGAGGTCACGTCGTGCCATTCACATTCCGGGACTGCACAACCATGCAGCCGACGAGCTGTAATGAGCTGCACTCACCGGAGAATGGAGACTCCATCCCCAGACGGTCCAGCTGATTTGGAGACATTTCGGAGCCGCTCTGGTAGACCAGTTTGCCTCTCCAGAGACCTCTAACTGCCAGTTGTTTTTTTAATCCCTGACCGAGGGAACACTCGGCACAGACGCACTGGCACTCAGCTGGCCGCGGGGCCTTCACAAGTATGCATTTCCCCCAGTTAGCCTTCTCGCACAGATGCTGTGCAAGATCAGGGAGGACGAGGAGCAGATCCTGCTTGTGGCGCCTTACTGGCCCACTCGGAACTGGTTCCCGGAACTAATGCTCCTTGTGACAGCCCATCCCTGGCAAAATCCTCTGAGGAAGGATCTACTGACTCAGAGACGGGGCACCCTGTGGCACCCGTGTACAGACCTCTGGATACTTCATGTCTGGTCCCTGGACGGGACGCAGAGGTTCTAGGTGACCTTCCCGAGGAGGTAGTTGACATCATCACTTCGGCGAGAGCGTAAGCGTGTCTTGAAGTGGAACCTGTTAATCGAGTGGTGTTCTTCTCACCAAGAAAACCCCCAAAGATGCCCGATCAGAGTCGTGCTGTCTTTTTTGCAGAAGGGGTTGGAGCGAAGGCTGTCTCCCTCCACCCTTAAAGTCTATGTTGCTGCGATTGCTGCTAACCACGACCCCGTGGAAGGGAAGTCTGTAAGAAAGCATGACCTGGTCATCATGTTCCTTAGTAGGGCGAGAAGATTAAATCCTCCCTGGTCCCCCTCTATACCCTCTTGGGACCTGTCTCTAGTGCTCAAAGCATTGCAGCAGGGCCCATTTGAGCCTTTGCAGTCAGTTGAGCTGAAGGTTCTATCAATGAAAACTCTGCTCCTGCTTGCACTGGCCTCCATCAAGAGGGTAGTGCACGCATTTTCAGTCGACGAATCATGCCTAGAGTTTGGGCCGGCTAACTCCCAGGTAATCCTGAGGCCCCCAGCCTGGCTATGTGCCCAAGGTTCCCACTACTCCCTTCAGGGATCAGGTGGTGAGCCTGCAAGCGCTGCCCCCGGAGGAGGCAGACCCAACCCTAGCTTTGCTTTGTCCCGTCCGAGCCTTGAGATGGTTGTAGATCGGACACAAAGCTTCAGGACCTCAGATCAGCTCTTTGTCTGTTACGGAGGCCGACAGAAGGAGAATGCCGTCTCTAAGCAGAGGAAGGCCCACTGGATAGTGGATGCCATCACCCTGGCTTATCAGGCACAGGGTGTTTCCTGCCCATTCAGGTTTCGAGCTCACTCTTTTCTAGGAGTGCTATGACAACAGTGACTGGCCTTCTTGTTGCGAGCCCCGGCCTACACCAAAAAGGGGCACAGAAGGCTCGCGCAGGACACTGGAAGGGGCAGCATTCATGTCACTTTGGTAAGGATCCCAATTCGTCGGTCACTGACGTGACTCGGAGTGACCGACTGAAAAGGAACGTCTCGGTTACGTATGTAACCCTCGTTCCCTGAAGGAGGGAACGGAGACATCATGTCCCGTCGCCACAGCTGCTGTACCACCACTGTGAGTGGCCACATAGAGTGGCCGGGTCACCGGCTCGACTCCTCAGCGGAAACCTGAGTATGCGTTGCACCTGCTGCCTAGTTATACTCGCACTGCAGTCAGCGGCAGCTTGATGCAATCATCGCATGCCAATGTGCATTAGCTCATTTAGTTTACACTTGAAGTGGATTGGTCTCTCTAAGCGAGATCCCAATTCATCGGTCACCGACGTGACGTCTCCGTTCCCTCCTTCAGGGAACGAGGGTTACATACGTAACCGAGACGTTCCACAAAAGAAAGTTAGTTGCACATGTTTGGATTTTCTTTCTTTTATTTTTTGTGAACTAAATTCTTACACATCAAGCACAAAGTCTGAGCTTCTGTTTACCTTATTTGATGTTCTCTGTACATGTGCATTTATGAATGTTGAGGTAAATAAAAGGGATTTGGCATGAAATGAGGATGAGCAAATGATTGATTGACTGTTGAATTTTTATATTTTTATTATTATTATTATTTATTTTTATTTATTTATTTTTAATTTTTTGCATTGTGTTAAAAACTCTAGAAAAACAGTTTTATGAAATATCTTTTATATAAAATGTTAAGGTTTCAGAGTGGGAAATGACTTCTAATCATGCTTAGACAAGTATATTTATGTGTGTTTATTTATATTTAAATTCATGCTTGGATATCAGATGTTTGTAAAAGTTTGATCTTGTTATTTGTTTAGCAGGTCACATGCTCTCCTAATAGGTTGTGATGACACTGTCTATGATCACATTGACCTGTCTCACACCTTTGTCCCCTAGTTCTGTTTACTCAAACTATTTCTACAACACAAACCAGTGAGCTTCATTCTCATATTCTAGCATTTACGGAATAATTTTTCATGAAGTAAAGTTTTTCATTGTATACAAGGTAACAGAAAAAAAATCTATATGAACGTACCACTAATGTGATGAGCAATGTCTACATTTTTGTGTTTTTAAATAGTTTGAATTTCACACATTTCTTTGTAATCAGGCATAGGGCATATATTTTCTATTTCATATGCTTTACCTTTTAGCCATGTTAGGCTGCAGCTAACCATGGACAGGACACAAAACAAAATAAGAATCAGCAAATAAACGTATTGCTGCATGTTCTACAATCTACAAAGTGTTTTAGAATAGAGGAAAAATCTGGTGCCACAGGGTCACTTTACCTCACTAACTGCATGAGATAAGGGGTAGGAGGGAAATACAGCTCCCTGTTATAAAAGATGAGGTAAGTTGCTTATACCACCTCTGGATTTCAACATGTTGCGGCTCTATCTCTGTCTCCTGGTAGCCCTGGCTGGTGAGTACATAAAGACCAGGACAGATTTAACTGCATGTTTAAGAGTGTGGCCATTATAAATCCTGCCTTAATTTTGTTTAGAACTGAGCACAGTAAAAAAGATTGTACTTTAATGCTACTTTATATAAAAGGAGAGTAGTAATGTTTCTTTTTTCCTCCCTATTAGCCAGCGAGAACATCAATTACGGTATGTAAATGCTATAATGTATATTACCCATAAACCTACAGAGATGTTCTCCTTATTCTAATATACATTTTATTATTGTATTTGGTGTTTATGTCAATAATAAATATTTAAAAATTTAATTAGGGTTCAGATACATATTAGATACATACTGTTTCAGAATTTGTCATTTCAAATTTCTGAAATTGATTAATTGCCATTATTTTAGACCCTTTCCTGAACTCTAAAAAAACGTATGAGTATAAATATGAGGGATTGGTGCGAGTGGGACGAGAACTGCCAGACTTGATTGAGTCAGCACTGAAGCTGAGGTGCACTTTTAAAATAATTGGTGAATCACCACAAACCTTTGTGCTTCAGGTACCAATACTGTTGCTCCAATTCCATTATTATTATTATTTTCTGAGCTAAGCAATCTGATACCTTTATTCTTAGCTCAGCAGTAAAAATAACTAGATATTGTCTAAACATGTTATACAATGTGCTTTTCATTTGAAGATATCAAATGTAGATGTTGAAGACTTTAATGGCTTACCCAGGAAAAGTGTCTTCAGCCCTTCCCAAAAGCTCACTAAGCGTCTATCTGCCGAGTTCAGCCAGCCAGTCGTTTTTGAATTCTCTAAAGGACAAATTACTGACATTCGCACAGCACCTGGTGTCTCAAACACAGTTGTAAATATTGTGAGGGGGATCCTTGGATTTCTACAAGTCACAGTCAAAACCACACAACGTTTTTACGAACTGGTGGAGGTACAAAATCTACATATCAACTGTACAAGACAGTCCTTAATAAGAGTATGACTCTATGGGAAAAGCAAAACAATATGAAAAAAATTATATTTTTTGTATATCTTTAGTTGGGAATTCATGGTGTATGTCAAAGCAGTTACACTGTTGAAGAAGACAATAATGCCAAAGAGTTGAAAGTGACCCAAATGGTTGATATCACCAACTGTCAACAGCCAGCTGCTTTATACCGAGGTATGGCACTTGCCCCTGAAGACAAATTTAGCAAACAGGTATGTTTCGTTACATTTCAATTTATTCCATTTTCAAACTTGAACATAACAATTGGAAGTTTGTCCTTTATCTGATCTGAATGCTGTTTAAACTTACAGAGAGGTGAGAGTGTTGTTTCAACGGTGAAACACACCTACACAGTGAAATCCACAGCAGATGGCGGTTTGATTACTAAAGCATTTGCTCAGGAGCGTCAATACTTCTCTCCATTCAATGTAAAGGGAGGAAACTCCCGAATGTTAGCATTGTACGTGCTTTAGTCATTAGCTAACAAATTGTTGCAAGACTGAGGATTGTGCATGACGTAGTTGTGTTCATTTTTCCAGACGGGACATTGAGCTTCTCAAAGTTTCAGACACAACTGACAAAATAGTGACCGGACAGGTGCAGAGCAGAGGCAACCTGATGTACAGGACAGAAAAGGTCTTCAACCCAATTCCCGTTGTGATGATCAACCTGAACGAACCAGTGCCAAAGGCAAACCCCACGATCATACACTCATAAACATTGAAATATATACAGATATGTGAATAAACTCATAAACAGATTTTGATCTGTACTGTATACTTTGATCTGTTCTGTACTCCAACAGATTCTAGATTTAATTAAGCGCTTGGCACAGGCTAACATATATCAAGTGGACAGCTCAAGCAGCACTGAGGTTCTGAATCTAATTCAGTTGCTACGTGTGGCAACACGTGATAATCTAGACCAGTTATGGAAGCAGGTCTTGGGAAATGATGAGCACAGGTATTTTGTTTACACCTGTCTAAGTACTATGCAATCCTAGATCTTATCCTACTGACTTGTCTTTTTTTTTTTTTTTTGGTTTTTAGGAGGGGGTTCCTGGACTTGGTTGTGGAGGTAACAGATGAAAGGATCCTCAAATTCCTTGAGACCAGATTCAAAGCAGCAGACATTACAGCGAATGAGGCAGGACAGGCACTGGTAGTGGCATTTAACCACTTGTCTGCTGAGCCTGTCTCAGTTGCATTAGCTCAGGTGAGCAAGTGACCTATAGTTAAACATTTGTTACAATCATTTATGTCATGTATATTTGCCTTCTAATCCTATGTTCTGCTTTCCAGGAGTTCCTGTCAATACCTTTAAGCAAATCCCAGCCTCTCCTGTGGAACACTGTAGTTTTGGCATATGGTTCTCTAGTATACAGATACTGTGTGTATACTGATCCCTGCCCCGTCACTGTGGTGCAGGTATATGTGGTCTCCTACTTCTGTATGCCAGATGATTAATACAAATATCATATTTTATAATCTGCTAGTTTTATGTGGAACTTAATTATATGATATTTACATTTTCTATATCCTTTGTAAATAATGTTGTTCAGCCATTGCTGGATATGGCTACAAGTGGCCTAAGTAAAAATTCGGAGGAGGATATGATCCTTGCACTGAAGGCCTTGGGAAACGCAGCTCATCCCTCCAGCATCAAGACTCTGCTAAAGTTCCTTCCAGGCTACACATCTGGAGCTGAAAAACTTCCAACTAGAGTACAGAGTGCTGCAGTTCTTGCATTCAGACTGCTTGCAAGCAGGGACCCCCACAATGTAAGTACTATTAACATATAAGTATTCACACCCCTTTTATTAAAAGGGAAATGTATTAAATAGAAAAAGAAAAAGAAAAAAAATATATAAGTATTCAATTTCAGACACCTGAAATTTAGCTTAGGTGCATCCCCTTTTGCTTGACCATCTTTGCTATGTTTCTATTCTTGGATTGAAATCCACTTGTGCCAAATTCAGTTGATTAGGTATAAGGTCTAACAGCTACAAATGCAAATCAGGGCAAAAACCAAGCCATGAAGCTCAAAGACAGCACGGGGTTGAGGCACAGATATGGAGAAGGCTACCAAAAAACTTAGGGTATTGAAGGTTCCCAAGAGCAGTGGCCTCCATAATTCTTAAATGGAAGAAGTTAGGAACAACCAGTACTCTTCATAGTGTTTAATCTGTGCAATCAGGGGAGAAGGGTTTTGGTAAGAGAGGTGACCTACTGTAACCTACTGATTTTTTTTTATGAAAACCTCAAAATGGTAAAAAGGTTCACCTTCCAACAGGACAATGGCCCTAAGCACACAGCCAAGACAATGCAAAAGTGGCCTAACCTGTGTGAATGTTCTTGGCCCAGCCAGTGCCAACATTTGAACTTAGTCGAAAATCTCTGGAGATACCTGAAAATTGCTGTCCACGGACAGTCCCTGCCCAACATGACATAACTCAAGAAGATCTATAGAAGAATGGCAGAAAATCTGAATCCATGTGTGCATCACAACAACACTTGAGGCTGCCAATGGTGCTTCAACTAGGTAGTGAGTCATGTTAGTGTGAGTCATGCACCCCCCCCCCCC